CCTGGGGATTTTTTGCCCCGAATCCCAGTATTTTGTCCAGAATTCCCATTTTTTTCCCCTGGAATTCCCCATGCCCAGCAGCTCCCGCTGCGAGGCGCGCCTGATCCCGGCGTTTCCCTCTAAACCCCATGGTTTCTCCCATAATTCCTGGGGATTTTGTGCCTCAATCCCTGGGGATTTTTTGCCCCGAATTCCTTTATTTTGTCCATAATTCCCATTTTTTTCCCTGTTTCCCGGCAGCTCCCGCTATGAGGCGCGCCTGATCCCGGCGTTTCCCTCTAAACCCCATGGTTTCTCCCGTAATTCCTGGGGATTTTGTGCCTCAATCCCTGGGGATTTTTTGCCCCGAACCCCAGTATTTTTTCCAGAATTCCCATTTTTTCCCCTGGAATTCCCCATGCCCAGCAGCTCCCACTATGAGGCGCGCCTGATCCCGGCGTTTCCCTCTAAACCCCATGGTTTCTCCCGTAATTCCTGGGGATTTTTTGCCTCAATCCCTGGGGATTTTTTGCCCCGAATCCCAGTATTTTTTCCAGAATTCCCATTTTTTTCCCCTGGAATTGCCCATGCCCAGCAGCTCGCACTGCGAGGCGCGCCTGATCCTGGCGTTTCCCTCTGAACCCCATGATTTCTCCCGTAATTCCTGGGGATTTTTTGCTGTAATTCCTGGGGATTTTTGCTGTAATTCCTGGGATTTTTTTTCGTAATTCCTGGGATTTTTTTTCGTAATTCCTGGGATTTTTGCCACAGTTCCTGGGGATTTTTTGCCCCGAATCCCAGTATTTTGCCCATAATTCCCATTTTTTCCCCCATTAGCTCGCGCTGCGAGGCGCGCCTGATCCCGGCGTTTCCCTCTAAACCCCATGGTTTCTCCCATAATTCCTGGGGATTTTGTGCCTCAATCCCTGGGGATTTTTTGCCCCGAATTCCTTTATTTTGTCCATAATTCCCATTTTTTTCCCTGTTTCCCGGCAGCTCCCGCTATGAGGCGCGCCTGATCCCGGCGTTTCCCTCTAAACCCCATGGTTTCTCCCGTAATTCCTGGGGATTTTGTGCCTCAATCCCTGGGGATTTTTTGCCCCGAACCCCAGTATTTTTTCCAGAATTCCCATTTTTTCCCCTGGAATTCCCCATGCCCAGCAGCTCCCGCTGCGAGGCGCGCCTGATCCCGGCGTTTCCCTCTGAACCCCATGATTTCTCCCGTAATTCCTGGGGATTTTTTGCCGTAATTCCTGGGGATTTTTTGCTGTAATTCCTGGGATTTTTTTTCGTAATTCCTGGGATTTTTTTTCGTAATTCCTGGGATTTTTGCCACTGTTCCTGGGGATTTTTTGCCCCGAATCCCAGTAATTTGCCCATAATTCCCATTTTTTTCCCCAGCAGCTCCCGCTACGAGGTGCGCCTGATTCCGGCGTTTCCCTCTAAATCCCATGATTTCTCCTGTAATTCCTGGGGATTATTTGCCATAATTCCCGGGATTTTTTGCCGCAATTCCTGGGGATTTTTTGCCCCAAATCCCAGTATTTTGTCCAGAATTCCCATTTTTTTCCCCTGGAATTCCCCATGCCCAGCAGCTCCCGCTGCGAGGCGCGCCTGATCCCGGCGTTTCCCTCTGAACCCCATGATTTCTCCCGTAATTCCTGGGGATTTTTTGCCGTAATTCCTGGGGATTTTTTGCTGTAATTCCTGGGGATTTTTTGCTGTAATTCCTGGGATTTTTTTTCATAATTCCTGGGATTTTTGCCACAGTTCCTGGGGATTTTTTGCCCCGAATTCCTTTATTTTGTCCATAATTCCCATTTTTTCCCTGTCCCCAGCAGCTCACGCTGCGAGGCGCGCCTGATCCCGGCGTTTCCCTCTAAACCCCATGGTTTCTCCCGTAATTCCTGGGGATTTTTTGCCTCAATCCCTGGGGATTTTTTGCCCCGAATCCCAGTATTTTGTCCAGAATTCCCATTTTTTTCCCCTGGAATTGCCCATGCCCAGCAGCTCGCACTGCGAGGCGCGCCTGATCCTGGCGTTTCCCTCTAAACCCCATGATTTCTCCCGTAATTCCTGGGGACTTTTTGCCTCAATCCCTGGGGATTGTTTGCCCCGAACCCCAGTATTTTGCCCAGAATTCCCATTTTTTCCCCCATTAGCTCGCGCTGCGAGGTGCGCCTGGGCCGCTCGGAGTCGCTGAAGGGGCGGGAGGAGCTGCGGCGCTCGCGGCGCGCGGAGCTGGTGCCGCGCTCGCGCAGCGACGTGGACATGGACACGGGCAGCGAGCCCCCCCGGCTGCACTCCGCCTCCTCCTCCGCCTCCAGCCTCTCCAACAGGTGGGACATCCCGGAATTCCCGGAATTCCGGAGGGCCCAGCCCCAGGTTTGGGGGGACGGGGCTCTGGGAGCAAACTCTGGGGAGCTGGGAGCATCGGGATCAGGGGAATTTGGGATTTGCGGTTTTTGGGAGGGGCTTTGCCCCTCCAGCCTCTCCAACAGGTGGGAAATCCCGGAATTCCCAGAATTCTGGAGGGCCCAGCCCCAGGTTTGGGGTGACGGGGCTCTGGGAGCAAACTCTGGGGAGGTGGGAGCATCAGGATCAGGGGAATTTGGGATTTGGGGTTTTTGGGAGGGGCTTTGCACCTCCAGCCTCTCCAACAGGTGGGAAATCCCAGAAATCCCGGAATTCCCAGAATTCCGGAGGGCCCAGCCCCACGTTTGGGGTGATGGGGCTCTGGGAGCAAACTCTGGAGAGGTGGGAGCGTGGGAATGGGAGGAATTTGGATTTGGGGTTTTTGGGAGGGGCTTTGCACCTCCAGCCTCTCCAACAGGTGGGAAATCCCAGAAATCCAGGAATTCCCGGAATTCCGGAGGGCCCAGCCCCAGATTTTGGGGTTTGGGATGGAAGTCTGGGAAAGGAGGGGAAATTGGGGTCGGGGGAAGTTTGGGATTTGGGGTTTTTGGGATTGGGATTTAGGGGGTTGGAGGGGGTGGGGGTTTTATTCCTTCAGCACCCAAATTCCTGCAGAACCCATGGAAAAATCCATGGAAAAATCCATGGAACGTAACGGGCTTTGGGGCTGAACCCCTGGATTTCGAGGGTGAGCTCATCAGGATCGGGGGAAACTTGGGATTTTGGGACACCCCAGGGGGATTTTTCCCTTCTTTTCCCAGATCCCTGGAAAATCCCACCCCCCCCTACACACCAAAGATGGGGCGCAGGTGAGTGACCCCCCCCTGGAATTCCCATTCCCTGTTTTCCCCGTTTCTCCCTCTTTTTTCCCTGTTTTTTTCATCATTATTTCCCCATTTCCCTCCCCAAATTTCCCCCAATTTTTCCTCCCAATTTTCCCTGTTTTTCCCTCTTTTTTCCCACTTTTTCTCCCCTTTTTCCCTTTTTCCCCCTTTTTTCCCCTTTTTTCCCTCATTCTTTCTCAATTTTTCCCCCTTCTTTCCCCATTTTCCCCCCCTTTTTCCCCTTTTTCCCTCTTTTTCCCCATTTTTTCCCTCATTCTTTCTCAATTTTTCCCCCTTCTTTCCCCATTTTCCCCCTCTTTTTCCCCCCGATTTTTCCCATTTTTCCCTCTTTTTCCCTCCTTCTTTCCCCCTTCTTTCCCCATTTTCCCCTCTTTTTCCCCTCAATTTTCCCTCTTTTTTCCCCTCTTTTTCCCTCATTCTTTCCCCCTTCTTTCCCCATTTTCCCCTCTTTTTCCCCTCAATTTTCCCTCTTTTTTCCCCTCTTTTTCCCTCATTCTTTCCCCCTTCTTTCCCCATTTTCCCCTCTTTTTCCCCTCAATTTTCCCTCTTTTTTCCCCTCTTTTTCCCTCATTCTTTCCCCCTTCTTTCCCCATTTTCCCCTCTTTTTCCCCCCAATTTTCCCCATTTTTCCCTCTTTTTTCCTCATTCTTTCCCCATTTTTTCCCCTCTTTTTCCCTCATTCTTTCCCCATTTTTTCCCCTCTTTTTCCCCTCAATTTTCCCTCTTTTTTCCCCACTTTTCCCCTCATTCTTTCCCCCTTCTTTCCCCATTTTCCCCTCTTTTTCCCCTCAATTTTCCCTCTTTTTTCCCCACTTTTTCCCTCATTCTTTCCCCCTTCTTTCCCCATTTTCCCCTCTTTTTCCCCCCAATTTTCCCCATTTTTCCCTCTTTTTTCCTCATTCTTTCCCCATTTTTTCCCCCTTTTTTCCCCCTTTTTCCCCATTTCCAGGAGCATGGATTCTCCCAGCCTGGGCTTCGGGGCCGACCCCTTCCTCCCGCACCTCCTGGAGGACGAGCAGGGCCCCGTCCCCGACCTGGAGCCGGACCCCGACCCCCAAAATCCCCAAAATTCCCACCCCAGCTCCCAGAGCTGGCAGCAGAATTCCCAGAGCTGGCAGCACTCGGTGAGCCGGGAGCTGCTGGCCAGCCTGCCCCAGCGGGAGGTGGATCGCCAGGAGGTCATCAACGGTGGGGAGCAGGGAATCCCGGGAATGCCGGGAATGCCGGGGGGCTGGAGCGGGGGGATGCTTCTGGGGGTGAATCCTGGAGTTTGGGGCTCATTCCTGGGGTTTGGGGCTCATTCCTGGGTTTGGGGGCTCATTCTTGGGATTTGGGGTACATTCCTGGGGTTTGGGGCTCATTCCTGGGATTTGGGGCTCATTCCTGGAGTTTGGGGCTCATTCTTGGGATTTGGGGGCTCCTTCCTGGGGTTTGGTGCTAATTCCTGGAGTTTGGGGCTCATTCCTGGTGGGGGCTCATTCCTGGGTTTGGGGCTCATTCCTGGGATTTGGGGCTCATTCCTGGGATCTGGGGGTCATTCCTGGGGTTTGGGGTACATTCCTGGGATCTGGGGGTCATTCCTGGGATTTGGGGGCTCATTCCTGGGTTTGGGGTACATTCCTGGGTTTGGGGTACATTCCTGGGTTTGGGGTACATTCCTGGGGTTTGGGGGTCATTCCTGGGTTTGGGGCTCATTCCTGGGATTTGGGGTCTCACTCCCGGGATCTGGGATCTCATTCCTGTTTTTTCCCCAGGATTTGGGGCTGCCTTTGGGGTGCTGGGGCTGGTTCTGGGGCTGCTTTTGGAATTGGATGTCCCCAATGTCCCCAGTGTCCCCAATGTCCCCTGTGCTGTCCCCAGAGCTGTTTGTCACCGAGCTGTCCCCCTGTGGGTGCTGTCCCCAGTGTCCCCTGTGCTGTCCCCAGAGCTGTTTGTCACCGAGCTGTCCCCCTGTGGGTGCTTTCCCCAATGTCCCCAATGTCCCCCCAGAGCTGTTTGTCACCGAGCTGTCCCACCTGCGCATCCTGCGCGTTCTGGATTTGCTTTTCTTCCAACGCCTGCGCCGGGAGCAGCTGCTGAGCCGGGAGGAGCTGGGGCTGCTCTTCCCCAACCTGCCCGACCTCATCGACGTGCACAGTGAGAGAAATCCCCAAATCCCCGAAATCCCAAATCCCCAAAATCCCAAATCCCCAAAATCCCAACGTTCCTGACCCCACCAGTTCCCCAGATCCCACTGGGATCCTGCTCTTCCCCAACCTGCCCGGCCTCGCTGATCTGCACAGTGAGACAGATCTCTGCAATTCCCAAAATCCCAAATTTGCCCCCCTTTTCCCCCCTTTTTCCCCTCTTTTCCCCCCTTTTTCCCTCCCTTTTCCCCCTTTTCCCTCCTTTTTCCCCCTTTTCCCCCTTTTTCCCCCTCACCTTTCCCTCCCCGCATTCCCAGCTTCCCTCTCGGAATCCATGCGGAAGCTCCGGGAGGAGCAGGGACCCATCATCGCCGAGATCGGCGACCTCATGCTGGCCCGGGTAGGACCCCCGTCCCTCCCTCCGTGCGTCCCTCCCCGCGGAACGCCGGGGCTCCCGGGAATTGCGGGGGTCCCAACGCCGGTTTCCAGTTCGAGGGCGCTGCCAAGGAGGAATTCCAGCGCGTGGCCGCCGCCTTCTGCTCCTCGCAGTCGGTGGCGCTGGAGCTGATCCGCACCAAGCAGCGCAAGGAGAGCCGCTTCCAGCTCTTCATGCAGGTCTGCGCCGCCGTGCCGGACCCTCCCGCCCGCTGCTTCCCTCCTTCCCCCCCTGGCTTTTCCCCTTCTCCCCCGCGGGGTCAGGAATTCCGGGGTGCGGGGATTTCAGCGCTTTGGGATTTCGGGGTTTTTGGGCGCGCTGAGGGTTTTGGGATGTGGGGAAGCAGTGGGGTGTCAGGAACTTGGTGATTTGGGTGAGCAGTGAGGGCAGGAGTTTCAGGATTCTGGGATTTGGGGAAGCAGTGAGGGCAGGAGTTTCAGGATTCCGGGATTTGGGGAAGCAGTGAGGGCAGGAATTTCAGGATTCTGGGATTTGGGGAAGCAGTGAGGGCAGGAATTTCAGGATTCCGGGATTTGGGGAAGCAGCGAGGGCAGGAATTTCAGGATTCCGTGATTTGGGGAAGCAGTGAGGGCAGGAATTTCAGGATTCCGGGATTTGGGGAAGCAGTGAGGGCAGGAGTTTCAGGATTCCGGGATTTGGGGAAGCAGTGAGGGCAGGAATTTCAGGATTCTGGGATTTGGGGAAGCAGTGAGGGCAGGAATTTCAGGATTCCGGGATTTGGGTGAGCAGTGAGGGCAGGAGTGACAAACTCCAGGATTTTGGGAAGCAGAGGGGTGACAAACTCCAGGATTTGGGGAAGCAGAGGGAGCAGGAGCTGGGTGATTTTTGAAGCAGAGGGGTGACAAAGTCCAGATTTTGGGAAGCAGAGGGAGCAGGAGCTGGGTGATTTTTGAAGCTGAGGGGTGACAAACTCCAGATTTTGGGAAGCAGAGGGGTGACGAACTCCAGGATTTTGGGAAGCAGAGGGGTGACAATCTCCAGATTTTGGGAAGCAGAGGGATCAGGAGCTGGGTGATTTGGGAAGCAGAGGGAGCAGGAGCTGGGTGATTTTTGAAGCAGGGGGATCAGGGGCTGGATGATTTGGGAAGCAGAGGGATCAGGAGCTGGGTGACCTGGGAAGCAGAGGGGTGACAAACTCCAGATTTTGGGAAGCAGAGGGGTGACAATCTCCAGATTTTGGGAAGCAGAGGGAGCAGGGGCTGGGTGATTTTTGAAGCAGAGGGGTGACAAACTCCAGATTTTGGGAAGCAGAGGGAGCAGGGGCTGGGTGACCTGGGAAGCAGAGGGGTGACAAACTCCAGGATTTTGGGAAGCAGAGGGGTGACAATCTCCAGATTTTGGGAAGCAGAGGGGTGACAATCCCCAGATTTTGGGAAGCAGAGGGAGCAGGGGCTGGGTGATTTTTGAAGCAGAGGGGTGACAATCCCCAGATTTTGGGAAGCACAGGGAGCAGGGGCTGGCTGACCGGGTGCCCTGCCCTCCCAGGAGGCCGAGAGCAACCCGCAGTGCCGGCGGCTGCAGCTGAAGGACCTGCTGATCGCCGAGATGCAGCGCCTCACCAAGTACCCGCTGCTGCTGGACAACGTCATCAAGTGCACCCCTGGTAAGGACAGGAGCGCCCCCAATTCCAGCCTCTCTCCTGGAATTCCTCATTCCCTTCGCCCCCCACTTCCCCTTCCCTGCTTTCCCACTGTTTTCCCTGTTAGTCCCCTGTTTTCCCCTGGATTTTTGCCATTTTCCCCTGGATCTTGCCTTGGATTTCATCCCTTTTTTCTCTGGATATTACCATGGGTTTTTCTCGTTATCCCATGGGTTTTTCCCAGGATTTCCCCATTCCCAGCGGGCTCCCCAGAGCAGCAGAAGCTGCTCCATGCCCAGGATCAGTGACTCCTGTCCCATTTCCCCCTGGATTTCCCCATGATTTCCCCATGATTTCCCCCTGGATTTTCCCAATTTCCCCCCGTTTCTCCCCTCCCAGCGGGCTCCCCGGAGCAGCAGAAGCTGCTGCGTGCCCGATCAGAGATCTCAGTCCCGTTTCCCCCTGGATTTCCCCATGATTTCCCCGTGATTTCCCCTGGATTTTCCCAATTTCCCCCCATTTCTCCCAGTTGTTCCCAGCGGGCTCCCCGGAGCAGCAGAAGCTGCTCCATGCCCAGGATCAGGGACTCCTGTCCCATTTCCCCCTGGATTTTCCCCATTTCCCCCCCGTTTCTCCCCCCCCAGCAGGCTCCCCGGAGCAGCAGTGCCCGATCAGAGATCTCAGTCCCATTTCCCCCTGGATTTTCCCCATTTCCCCCCGGGGTGTTTCCCCTGGGTTTTGGTGTGTTTCACATGAATTTTGGGTTGTTTCCCATGAATTTTGGGGTGTTTCCCCTGGGTTTTGGTGTGTTTCACATGAATTTTGGGTTGTTTCCCATGAATTTTGGGGTGTTTCCCCTGGGTTTTGGTGTGTTTCACATGAATTTTGGGTTGTTTCCCATGAATTTTGGGGTGTTTCCCCTGGGTTTTGGTGTGTTTCACATGAATTTTGGGTTGTTTCCCATGAATTTTGGGGTGTTTCCCCTGGGTTTTGGTGTGTTTCACATGAATTTTGGGTTGTTTCCCATGAATTTTGGGGTGTTTCCCCTGGGTTTTGGTGTGTTTCACATGAATTTTGGGTTGTTTCCCATGAATTTTGGGGTGTTTCCCCTGGGTTTTGGTGTGTTTCACATGAATTTTGGGTTGTTTCCCATGAATTTTGGGGTGTTTCCCCTGGGTTTTGGTGTGTTTCACATGAATTTTGGGTTGTTTCCCATGAATTTTGGGGTGTTTCCCCTGGGTTTTGGTGTGTTTCACATGAATTTTGGGTTGTTTTCCCTGGGTTTTGGGGTGTTTTCCCTGGATTTTGGGCTGTTTCCCATGAATTTTGGGGTGTTTCCCCTGGGTTTTGGTGTGTTTCACATGAATTTTGGGTTGTTTCCCATGAATTTTGGGGTGTTTTCCCTGGGTTTTGGTGTGTTTCCCATGGGTTTTGGGCTGTTTTCCATGAATTTTGGGGTGTTTCCCTTGAATTTTGGTGTGTTTCCCATGGGTTTTGGGGTGTTTCCCTTGAATTTTGGGGTGTTTCCCATGGGTTTTGGTCCCGCAGAACCTGGACCTGACCTCACACCGGATGATCCACGAGGGACCCCTGGCCTGGAGAGTGGGCAAGGACAAGAGCGTGGGTACGGACTGGGGGCAGCTGGGAGGGACTGGGATCTGAAAAAATCCCCCAAAAACTGAAAAAAAACCCCACTAAAAATCACAAAAAAAAAAAAAAACCCCCCAAATATTAAAAAAAAATCCCCAAAAAACAAAATCCCAAAAAATCCCCAAAAAAATCCCAAAAAATCCCCGAAAAATCCCCAAAAATCTGAAAAAAAAATCGGAAAAAAAAATCCCAAAAATTGCCCAACCCCCCTGGAATTTCGCAGACCTGCACGTGCTGCTGCTGGAGGAGCTGCTGGTGCTGCTGCAGCGCCAGGACGAGCGCTGGCTGCTCAAGTGTCACAGCAAGGGCGGCCTGGGGGGGGCCCCGGACACCAAGCAGAGCTTCAGCCCCGTGCTCAAGCTCAGCTCGCTGCTGGTGCGCTCCGTGGCCACAGGTGGGCAGGGAAATCCAGGAATTCCGGGAATTCCGGGAATGAAATGGGGGAAAACCGGGAATTTCTGGGGGGTTTGTGTAAAAAAATGGGGGTTTTGTGTAAAAAAATGGGGTTTTTGGGGGGAAATGGGGATTCAGCCCCGTGCTCAAGCTCAGCTCGCTGCTGGTGCGCTCCGTGGCCACAGGTGGGCAGGGTAATCCCGGAATTCCGGGAATTCCGGGGTTTGAGTAAAAAAATGGGGTTTTTGGGGGGAAATGGGGGTTCAGCCCTGTGCTCAAGCTCAGCTCGCTGCTGGTGCGCTCCGTGGCCACAGGTGGGCAGGGAAATCCAGGAATTCTTCGGAATTCCGGGAATGAAATGGGGGAAAACCGGGAATTTCTGGGGGGTTTGTGTAAAAAAATGGGGTTTTTGTGAAAAAAAATGGGTTTTTTGGGGGGAAATGGGGGTTCAGCCCTGTGCTCAAGCTCAGCTCGCTGCTGGTGCGCTCCGTGGCCACGGGTGGGCAGGGAAATCAGGGAATTCCAGGAATTCTGGGAATGAAATGGGGGAAAACCGGGAATTTCTGGGGGGTTTGTGTAAAAAAATGGGGTTTTTGTGAAAAAAAATGGGTTTTTTGGGGGGAAATGGGGGTTCAGCCCTGTGCTCAAGCTCAGCTCGCTGCTGGTGCGCTCCGTGGCCACAGGTGGGCAGGGAAATCCGGGAATTCCAGGAATTCTGGGAATGAAATGGGGGAAAATGGGGGGGTTTGTGTAAAAAACCGGGATTTTCTGTTGAGGAAAAGGGTTTTGGGGGAAAAAGGGGTTTGGGAATGGGGGCTCAGCTCAGCTTGGTGCTCATCTGCTCCATGGCCACAAGTGAGCAGGGAAACCCCAGAATTCCGGGAATTTGGGGCATTCTGGGGCTGGGAATTCGGGGAATTTTGGGGCTGGGAATTCTGGGAATTTTGGGGATTCTGGGAATTTTGTCCCCCCCCAGACAAGCGCGATTTCTGGGGGGTTTGTGCAAAAAAATGGGGGTTTTGTGTAAAAAAATGGGGTTTTTGGGGGGAATGGGGATTCAGCCCCGTGCTCAAGCTCAGCTCGCTGCTGGTGCGCTCTGTGGCCACAGGTGGGCAGGGAAATCCCGGAATTCCGGGAATTCCGGGAATGAAATGGGGGGAAATGGGGGGGTTTGTTTAAAAAACCGGGATTTTCTGTTGAGGAAAAGGGTTTTGGGGGGAAAAAGGGGTGTGGGAATGGGGGCTCAGCTCAGCTTGGTGCTCATCTGCTCCATGGCCACAAGTGAGCAGGGAAACGCCAGAATTCCGGGAATTTGGGGCATTCTGGGGCTGGGAATTCGGGGAATTTTGGGGCTGGGAATTCTGGGAATTTTGGGGATTCTGGGAATTTTGTCCCCCCCCAGACAAGCGCGCCCTGTTCATCATCTGCACCTCGGAGCTGGGACCCCAAATCTACGAGCTGGTGGCACTGACGTCCTCGGAGAAGAACACGTGAGGGGAAATCCTGGAAAATCCCCTGGGAAGGGCAGGAAAATGCCCTGGGGGGATGAAATCCTTGGGATGAGCCAGAAAGTTCCCTGGGATGGGCTGGGAAATTCCCGGGGGGGACAAAAATGCATGGGATGGGCTGGAAAGGTCCCTGGGAAGGGCTGGAATTCCTCCCTGGGGGGGACAGAAATCCCTGGGATGAGAGGGAAGGCCCCTGGGAAGGGCTGGAGTCCCGGCTGGAATTCCTGGCTGGAATTGCAGGTGGATGCAGCTGCTGGAGCAGGCTGTCCAAGGGGCCACCAGGAGCCTCCCGGGGCCACCAAAACAGGGACAGAGCGAGGCCGGCGGGGACGGGGCCGCCAGGTGGGAATGGGGGGAATGGGGGGAATGGGATGGGGGAATGGTGGGAATGGTGGGATAACGGGATCCTTCCTCCATTCCCTGGGGACAATCCCAAATTCCCCAACTGCAGTTCCCCCATTCCCTGGGGACAATCCCAAATTCCCCAACTGCCCTTCCTCCGTTCCCTCAGAAACCCCAAATCCCCTTTTTCCTCCCTCCGTTCCCTCAGGAAACCCCAAATCCCCTTTTTCCTCCCTCTGTTCCCTCGGGAAAATCCCAAATTCCCCGGTTTTCCTTCCTCCATCCCCAGGGGAACATCCCAGATCCCTCCGTGCCCTCCCTCTCTCCCCCATCCCGGGACATTTCCCCTGGAAAACCCCAAATCCCATTTTCCCTCCCCAATCCCAGTGGAGACCCTGCGGCTCCTGATTGTCCGGTGGCTCCGGGATCCCCGCCTGTCCGGCCGGGAATTCCCCACATCTGGCCGGGAATTCCCCACATCCGGCCGGGAATTCCCAACATCCGGCCGGGAATTCCCAATGTCCGGCCGGGAATTCCCAATGTCCGACCGGGAATTCCCCACGTCCGGCCGGGAATTCCCAACATCCGGCCGGGAATTCCCAACGTCCGGCCGGGAATTCCCAATGTCCAGCCAGGACTCGGCCTCGTCCAGCCGGGATTCCGGGACGTCCAGCTGGGAATTCCCAACGTCCAGTCAGGAATTCCCGGTGTCCAGCCAGGAATTCCCGGTGTCCAGCCAGGATTCTGGCATGTCCAGCCAGGAATTCCCAAAGTCCGCTCGGGAATTCCTGATGTCCACTCGGGAATTCCCGAAATCCAGCCGGGAATTCCCGGTGTCCAGCCAGGAAGGGCCGGAGGGGCCGGAGCCCAACGGGATCCGAATCAACCGGAAAGGTAAAGGGGGATGGGCCGGGGGTCTGGGGGATTGGGGCAGGGATTTGGGGTGGGATTGGGAGAATTTTGGGACATTTGGGGTGGGATCTGTGGGGGAATCCATGGGAATTCCCTGCAGTGCCTGCGGGATCCCTGCGGGGGTTTGGGCTTTCTCTCATTCCCAGGATTTGGGGTCTTGTTCCCTGTTCCTTTTGGGATTTGGGGTCCCATTCCCTGCCCCTTTTGGGATTTGGGGTCCTGTTCCCTGCTCCTTTTGGGATTTGGGGTCCCGTTCCCTGCTCCTTTTGGGATTTGGGGTCCCGTTCCCTGTCCCTCTCTGGGATTTGGGGTCCCATTCCCTGCTCCTTTTGGGATTTGGGGTCCCATTCCCTGTTCCTTTTGGGATTTGGGGTCCCATTCCCTGCTCCTTTTGGGATTTGGGGTCCCATTCCCTGCTCCTTTTGGGATTTGGGGTCCCGTTCCCTGTCCCTCTCTGGGATTTGGGGTCCCATTCCCTGCTCCTTTTGGGATTTGGGGTCCCATTCCCTGTTCCTTTTGGGA